AAGAATTGTGCAGTGGTGTGTGTCTGTGTGTTACCAGTTGAACTTGGCGCTTGATTACACACGTGTCTCACATTGTCAAAGCTAACGTCACCTAGCGGCAGTTTGGACACTCTGTTGCATTTTTCGTTTCTAGAGGGCGTTTTCTGCTAAAGTGTCAAAACGTTTCCAAATCGTTGACTAACGCTACACGCATTTAGATCCGACTTGATCACATGAACGGGCACGCCCTCCAGATTTGACATTTGACCTTGGCAAAAATTTCCAACAATGTCCTTCACAAAATTAGCTTATTAAGGTTGTTCATCCCAAGAGCAGGAGAAATTTAGGGTTAGAGTAATTTCCTAGTCTCGCCCTTCCCTCTCGCTTTTAAGTAATAACGTATTGTAGCGCCTGTCTTGAAACTTCGCATCGACCGTGTGGGGGAGGAGTCGACATCATAATTCAGCGTACCCCAATGTTTTGCATTTTTTTTCGTCTGACGGTATTTTTTCAAATTTTTTGATCTTAGGGAAGGTCCTAAATACGCTTCACCATCAAGTGAGGTAACCTTATGTCCACTGGTAACGTGACTTCAGACCTTGAGCCAGATCGAAAAATTTGAAAACAATACCAGCAGACGAAAAAAGGAAAACATTTGGGTACGCTGAATTTGTTGTCAACCCTCTGTTGTCGACTCCTCCCCCCTCCCCACAGGGTCCATGCGAAGTTTCGAGATCGGCCATACAATACATTACTCAAAGCGAGAGGGAAGGATGGGACTAAAAAATTACTCCAACTCCAAAATTCTCCTGCTCTCTTGAGAGGCAGCGCTAACACAATTAGAATCGGGAAAGTGTGAAATGATTTGTCGGAATTTCTGAGGGGACAAGGTTCCCCTGTCCCCCCGCTTTCTCCGCCACGGCATGCCATATATGTTTGCCTTTTTAAATAGGTGTTTTTTCAAAGTAACATGTTTAAAAGATTATCTGGTTGCACACAGTCCCCCCCTCCCAATTTCATGTAATTAAATTTGCGATCGATTGATACTACGTAATTTGCTCAAAATCGGAGCACATACGCCGGGCGACCTCCATTTTCTATTATTTAGTAGTTACGATAAAATAGTTTAAATACGGTTTGTCATAGTTTAAATAATTTGCTACTATTTACCGACCAAGAGCCGCAGGACTATATTTTCGCCAAGTTTACGTACACTTGTCATCGCCACAAATGGCATAAAATGAATTCTACGGCCGTCTGGACCCTGTATTGGGACCCTATGAAAGACAATGCTGAACAAGACCCTTTCACCACTTCTTCCGACATCCACGCCCGTTGTGCTCCATGGTTTTTTAAGCGCTTGTCGGTTGATGTGCAGAAAACTTTGGCGCAAGAATTTCGCCATCATTTCCAACTCTATTTGGGCGATGGTGTGAGTGGCTTTGGTGACGAGTGTGACGAGTACTGGAGATACGGGCGTCCGGAGGCAGAGTAGGGTGGCGGTGATTAATAATCACTAATTAAAGTGTCTAATTCCCAATTTAAGGAAACTATTTATTTAGAATTAAATTGATCACAATTGAACATTTACACATTTCTGGTTTTGTTTTGTTGTCCTGCCAACATTAATTTGGACCACTACAGACATGCATACGTTAATCTTGTCAAAATTTTGTTCCACTCGGCCTCGCCTTTTTATGGATTCCTGTACCTGGTTGCGAAATTATGAGATACACAACGGTGAAAGTTGTAACTTTTAAAGCCTGTATTTATGCATAATTCAAGCATGACAAACCCAAAATAATGGAGTTGACTTAAAATGATTATGTGAATTGAACATCTATATCTAATTTACTGAAGAGGGTAGTTTGCTTTCGAATCGTAAGAATGGGTTTTGGCCAAGAAATTCAATATTTCGGATTGCCGTGATTCACAATGGTCCGGAATATGGATCCGATACTGTCCAGCTTGTGGATCATATCCAAACGAAATGTGAAGATTTCTCTGGTTCTGACTCGCCTTCCCGGTCGCTTGTGGGTCAAGGTTTGTGTATGGGATTCGAATTATGATCTGCACGAGTTTAATTTTCCCTTCGTCTGTAGCAGTAGACCTTTTCGGTCTTTCGGGCGACTCATTTTGGAAATAAGTGGGAGGGTATCTCCGATAGTTGTCGAATGAGCTGGGTATAAAATCTCGTGGAATGAAAGTCTCCGCCACCTCGATAGGAGTAAGGTTAGTATCCTGAACGGAAATTAGTATATCGGTCGAAAAGCTTAATCTGAGGCGGGTAGCGTTATTGTACCATCCCCTCGTTTCGGATAATTCGGGGAATAAAAAATCAGCCACTGGAGAAGAGTTGGTCTGTATGTATCTTTATTACTTTGTCTTTCCCAATTCATTGCATTCATCGTACAAGTACAACAACAATGGTCTACCCCTGGTGACACACTGGTCAATATATCATATATTAAGTATTCTATATTAGCTAGATTAGTAGTATAAAAACTTTTTATTTCTTTCCTGGACGATGATTTTTATAATCTCCTCTTTGAAGGTTGTGAAGTTTAATTCGGAGACGTTCAATTGTAGGTTGAACATTAGATGGGATTAAGAAGCAAAATGAAATTGTGAAGAATTGATACATCGCAAAATTGTAATTTTTATTAGGCCAGTAATAATTCATGTATTATGGGTTCTGACTATGAGAGAATGTGTGATATGAATCGGACAAAAAGGTTTAGTGAAGACCGTTATTGTGGAACATTTTTATATATGTCAAACAATATCTTATTTACGAATAAAGAGAGATTATAAAACTAATATTGCGTTAATATGTAATGGTGGTTTACTAGATATGTATGTATGTATGTATGTAAGAGCAGGTTGACAATAATTTGAGACATCTGAGTAAATGGGGACATAATATGTAAATATATACAGATCAGAAATTTCTCGTCCTCATAAATACACCCATATTGTTGATATGCAAATACGCATGAAGTTATATACACATGACATACTATTTCTTAAAGAGAATTATCATGAGCTTTAACTATGTCATAACAAATCAGGTAAAACAACCGTATAATGCAAAACCTCAAAACCGTAAAATATTTATAAAACAATTTCCAATAATCATTCTTATTTATACATAAATATGTATGCGGTTATCACGGTTATGTATCAGCATATTTTGTAATTAGCAAATTTTTCGAGTCTTTATTATGCACATAGAATCTTGCAAACCATCACGACACAAAAGACTCCAACGAGCAGGACTCCAACAATTCCACCCGCGATGAGCAGCAATGGCAGGCCTGATAACCTGTCGTCCTCATCCGTATCCACTTCATCTTCACTTCCGACAGGTGAGACAACGCCACTCAATTCAGCCCCATCATTATACGGAAACAGTTGGAAAGTAAGAGATTTAAAAATGACTTCTACATAACGTCCTAAACGAGGTATGGCAAAAAGCCAGGCCATTTCAGTGCAGTAAGATTGCTTGCCCACGTCCACTCTGGCTGGTCGGGTTCCGTTAGGTTTCATCTCTGGACAAGATTAATTTTCTACCCAATAAATGCATATGAACAGTTATATGTGTGAATAAATATGCAAATACCCAAATATTCTGCTCTATATTCAGCCAGCATTCCCTGCATGAAAACCCTGTGCATCCAATACTTTCCAGCGTGGGATCATATCCAAACGAAATGTAAAGATTTCTCAGGTTTCCGATCAATTTTGTGTCAACGTTCGTGTCCGGGATGGGAATTATGATCTGCATGAGCTTAATTTCGTCTCCTGAAAGGGATAATCTTCTACCTCGAAGTTTTTGGTTAGGGGGCAAATCATCGTTGGAATAACTGGACGGGTATTTCTGATAGTTGGTGAATGAGCTTGGTAGAAAATTTCGTGAAATAAATGTCTCCACTACTTCGGCGGGATGAGGGATAGTATATTTCGCGGAAACAACTATATCAGCGGAAAAGGTTAGTCTGAGGCGGGTAGCGTTGTTGGACCATCCAGAGGATAATTCGGGGGACAAGTTAGCCACTGAGGAAGAGTGGTTGAAACTTGGCAGGTCTTTTATAGGGTGAACTTTCCATGAGATTGTGAACCAGAGGAAAATTGTGAAGAATTTGGAAATTGAAAAACTTGTCATTTTTTAAAAACAGGCAAGGATGAATTTACGAGTTGTGGTCAGGAGAGAATGTGAGAAATGTATGTATGTAGGTGACCAAGATGTGGAGTGAAGACGATTATTGGGCAGCATTTTTATGCATGACGAAGAATGCGATGTCTGTGAATAAACAGAGATTATATACACACATATTCGAAGCAAGTATTGTAACTAACAATTTGTAAGATGTTAGTTTGTTAAATACGTACATAGGTATGTAAGAGCAGTTGAATAATAGTGTGGGAAAGATTAGTAAATGTAGACATAAATTGTAAATTGTACAGTCATATTGGCTATAACCTTTCTGTCCAAAAAGTCCTGTTTTGATAGGAATCGAGCGTGCACGCGCTCTTCCCAACTTTTGCACGAAATTTTAAACTTTGTCCTAGAGATGCGAAATTTGGCATGCACATGCACCAACATATGCTACATCATAATATAACATCAATTCCCGTTCCGTTCGCTATAAATTTTTCAGGAAAAATCAAAAACCAAATTGAATACGGGTGACATTTGGTTTTTGATTTTTCCTGAAAAATTTATAGCGAACGGAACGGGAATTGATGTTATATTATGATGAAGCATATGTTGGTGCATGTGCATGCCAAATTTCGCATCTCTAGGACAAAGTTTAAAATTTCGTGCAAAAGTTGGGAAGAGCGCGTGCACGCTCGATTCCTATCAAAACAGGACTTTTTGGACAGAAAGGTTATAGCCAATATGACTGTAAACATGTTCAGACAAGTGTCCAAATACATACATATGAAATTATTTACATTTGTACATATGCATGCATGACTTACAATTTCTTAAACAAAATAATCTTGAGGCTGAAATATGTCATGACAGATAAACCATTTACATATATGAAACTGTATTTATCGTTCTATACATAACAGTTTATACAGTTTATAAATACATAACCATAAAATCTCAATCCACTTGTTTAGAAAGAAATTTCAACTAAGAATATATTCGACATAAATACATACGCTTTACAAATATTTAGTCGCCTTCGTCTACTTCCTGGAGGTTCAGAATTTGAAGAAGTTTTTCTGGATTTGTAATAAACAATTCCTTCACGATTTCCAGTGATGGCAAGTTTTCAAATCCATTTCTTACATAAAAAACATACAAATAAATTATCAAATAATACATAATTTAATCTTTCAGCGTGGAGGACGTTTTGTGATAAATAAGGCTACATCCATAAATCATGCTAAGCGTAAATTTGGAGTAAAGCCTCACGCGTGACATAATTTATGATTGCAAATTAATTTGGCAAGATAATCCATGTTGAGGGACCCGTATTCAAAATTTGTGAACAGAATATTTAGAAACTTTTATGTATAAGTACGTCCCACGCTTATGGATTATTGTTTTAGAAGCTGTTTAAATCTCATCATTTCATACGAGGGTTATTATTATCTTTCCCTTAAGACTTATTTTTGATGAATTGACTTCTTTAATTGTCTTTAAATTGAACAAATTTATGAAATAAATAATTACTAAACTTAACACAAGAAGGCCAAAGTGTCATCTTCTTCCACATATGCCAAATTTCTCACCTGTCCATAAATGTCTAGAAAACACGACTAAAATGCGTAAACTTACGTCGTCAGAATCCGTAGTGCTTGCTGCTTTAGTTCCACTCCGTTATATGTATCGCCAAAGTGAAACATCTCAATCGCATTTTTGGAATTGACGGCCTTAAAAAGATGAAACTCGCACAGATTCTTTAATTTCGCCACGTCATATTTATCCGCAAGTTTAAATAGGTCCTTTAATAAGGGCAATTCTACTCCATCTTGGAACCGAGCAGTGTAAAGGAATCGTAGAAATTCTGTAAAAACTGGGGCGGAAATGTCATCCAGGATAACGCGACCGTCCTTCGCCTCTTTCATATCGTGATGAAACATTTGCTTAAAGACGGGACTTTTACCTGGAAATTTAATCTCGTTAAAGTGCCATTTTATACGGGTTTTGAGTTTAAATTATTGTGTCTCAACTTCCCCTTCTTCAATATATTCAAATGGCGATTTTGAAACCTATTCATCTTCGTGGGTATTTTACAATTGAAGATTTTTATTTTTACTTTAGGTTTACAAAGTTGCGACTTTAGAATTGTGATTTTCTTCTTCGATGAGTAAATAAATATGAAATGGACGAAAAATAATAAGTAAAAACTAAATATTTTCTCATGGAAGAAAAAAATTAAAATTCTATCCTCTTAAATAACTCTGTAAATCTAAAAACCGCAAATTTTTAGGTGGATTAGGACCTTCGTATTGTAAAACACATAGAGAGGAATAAGTCTCAAAATCGCCATTTGAATATATGGAAGAAGGGAAAGTTGAGGGAGACACAACAATTCAAGCTCCAAACCTGCATACAAGTACACGTTAAAAACTTAATGAAGTATTTTGAAATATACTGAAAGTCCAAATTTTCAAACTTATTTTTTGGGAATTTTTTTTATATCTAGTAATATTGAAAAGAAGCAAATCATTCCACTTACAAGACAGGATTAAGCGATGCCCTGGAATTTCCACATTGCCGGAACAAATGAACGTACAATCAGCCAGTTCTTTAGATAAGAACATATCCTCAAGAATGTCGAAGTGATGAGAATCCTCGTCGGGGAGCAATATCGTTTTGGCGATCTCGTCATGAACACGAGGAATAATTTCGGGGCCTAATGAAATAATCTTAATAAATTTTTAAATTGGGGAACGTCCATAGATTATGTCAGGCAAAAATGCCGATTTTTCAGACCCTGCCCAAACTACGTCTAAAACAATCAATATAAATAAATCGACATATATGACCACTGGCGTCTTCACCATGGCGCCGTGACCTTATGACCTATAACACCCATCTTCAAACTCATCCATGCTTCAAGAATTACTTACGTTGGCGAAAAGCGCATGTCGAAATTCGAATTCGTTCTAAAGTTCAGACAGACGGACGGACAACACATTTCCATAAAGGGATTTCGCTTCGCTTCACCCTTTAATAAACAATCGGTACATAAATATATGTCTTACGTTCGTAGCGAACTACAGATATGGTTATCCTGAATAAGTCCATATTTGCCCAAGAATCGCCAGCTCCCGTTGCATTGCACGTCCAAAAAGTGTAGTAACAATCATAGCCTTCCTCATGCTGACAATAAATTTTTCTAAATGCCTGATCAATACCCAAATTTCCTTTTGATTGTGTACAAGATATCAATCCGCTTCTATTTTCGGCCGATTCGTGCAGTGACGAATATAATTTCAAGTCACAAGTTCTAATCTCGAACCAATTGTCGGCATTACGTGGCAAATGCACATACAATTTGATGCATGGCATATCAACGATGACATCCCTAGAATGAAATATAAGAATCAGATTCAAATTAAATTTATGCATCTGGTGTTTGATAACTTTGTAACAAAATGTTATCAAGTTATCCAAAAAGGCTACTTGTTACTACTGGATGCCAAGTACTAAGTACCATGCCAGTAAATACTTGGTACATACTTATTGTGTGCAAATAAAATTTGTCTTCATACTTACATCGAGTGCTTCACATCTGCAAGGCATCCAGTGGTAAACTTCAAATCTGGAAATTTAAATCCACCACGGGAAAACCTCTTTGCACTTTCTTGAATTTTGGTAACTGAAGGAACACAGAAGTCCCAGCTAAATGAGTTGAACACTTCGTCCTTGATCTACATATGTATGTGAAGTAAATAAACGATCGAAATTAAATGAAGTAGTAAACAGGCAAGTATGATATTAAATGGATACTTAGGTATGTTAATACAGACTTTTTATAATTACTTATTTATTTGTACGTCCATAAATATATTTACCTTGAGCAGTGACGTTTCAATTTTATTTATTTCCATTACTTTGGAAAATGTGCACCAACTGGACAAAAATGTACTACTTATGTTAACTACCCAGCAGATAGTGTCGACCTGACTGGGTGTGAAACAAAGATTTCTGGCTTTAATTGCAAAACGTTGAGAATTGATCTTTTTCTTGTTAAGTTGGGAATGCGATCTGAACGATCTGAATTAATTAATATGTACCGATGTATATCTTCGTATGCACATATACGCAAACCTTGCTAAAACGTTTCACTCGGAATTAAATACTTGTGTATATACATTTAAGAAACCAGCTGAGTAATAAACGTCAGCTTGTCAGTTAATTGCTGCGTCTTATAATCTACATATCAGTAATATATCATACGACATGCGTAAATACATAAGTGGTGGCGGTTATCATGCTTATATACAACTCTGAGAGACAGAATTCCGGACCTGCTAAGCTAATGTAGCAAGCAATATGCATAAGATTGGAATGCATAAATACATACATATACATACGTGTACATACCATGGATCTAAAGGAAGGGATAAATCGGCTTCAGTACTTTGTTGCCAGAGCAACATGTCGGATTTGGCCTGTATTCGGGGCTGAATTCAGTAAACGAGTTGAAAATCACTTAGTTAAGACCAGCTTACGACAAATTAAGTACGAGGTGCAATAAAATCATCATATAATTAACTTGATTAATTATACTTCGCTAATCTCATGTACAAACGATTAGTACACAAGCTTTTAAAAGCTGAAGTTGCGTTATAACGCTTGGAGTGGCAAATAGATGCGTAGCACCAAACCCTCGCCATCTCTCGGAGGTGCAATGGAATTGCCTGGAGGGCAACTCGCTCTTCCCGCTCCGTCAGGACCTGTACACAAAAATTTCATTAATAACAATCTATTATGCATTATGATTTACATGTAATTTGTAATTTTGACGCACGACGTAATCGATCAGTTTATGATCGAACAATCGAAAAATTGCCTCCGCAATTTCCAAATCGCCGGGATGCAAAGGCATGGTGACCTGTGAGAATAAAACATTATGCATTCTATTTAATATTTTTTATGTGCAAATAGTGAAGTTATATAATCAGAATCCACAGTCCAACTATGAAACAGCATTTATTTATTGATTAACAATTTTTAGTGAGATACAAGTCTCTTAAGGCATCTTAACGTGAATCAGTCACGTAGAACAATTTAAAAATAATCAGTAAATTATTCTAATATAATGTTTACATAATTTTTAACTATTTTAACTCTAACATAATTCTAAAGACAACTTCAATTAAACTAGGTAATCCCAAATAATGCTAAATACAACTTAAAATACATTTAAATAATTCCAAATAGTTGTAAATACTTAAAATATATTCTTAAAAATTATAAGGAGCATCTGTAAGATAATTCTATTTGTTCTAAACCTATTCTAATGCGCTTCGGTAAATATTGTTAATTTGCCAAATTTGTGCCGTACAGAAGTTGAAATTTCTCGCATCTTTTGAAACCTATTTCCATGATCAAATAAGCGAATTTTCAAAAAATGCATCGAAATTCGAGAAATGAGATCAGACAAATGACTAGTTTCAGTTAATGGATCAAAGTCAATTACGTGATGCGTAAGATGTGGGAAAATTGTGGTTTCTAAGCATCGTGTAATAACCATCATAGAAATCCTACGATCTAGGTTAGATACCTTCATTAAACCACCAGAAGTTTTGCAAATTTGCCGATAACATGCATCAGTCAGCTCAACTATACGGAAAACGGAATGACAAGGGGTGAATAAGCCTCCGCTATCCTTAGCCTCAATTAGCTTAGCAAAGTGAGAAGGAAGAAGATCATCGTCTGTGTTAAGAAGTGATTCGGCACAAATCTCACACTTCAACTTCGTCCCAACTACTCTGACCACATTCCCGCTAATATAAGCTAGACAATTCCTATAAAAATCTGAATAATGTGGATCAATGTCGAATACCGGCCGTATATAATTCTTCTGTTAGGAAGTGACGACTACATATCCTGGACTCACGAGTAGGTTCCCACGCCTCATCATTTCTAAGGTTTCGAATTATGGTGATCCAGTTAATTCGCATTTTCTGATGCATGGCCGAATTTGGGAACCTGTTAATTTATAGTTTTGTAATATTTAACTAATTTCATTAAAATGGAGTTCAGGTTGGACTTACAAATGCCATGATAAATCTATCTCCCGATTCCGATCGACCACCTTACAAGAAGGTACAACGCAAGTGCGCTGTTTGATCACACAGGCCATTGTTCACGTTGGACCTATGATTTAGACGTTTAAGATTTATGAAACTTATTTGTTTATTCAACTACATTCTCGTAAAATTAGAGATTGTATCCTACTTTGGTCTAAAAAGACTTCGGAATTTTAATTACAATTCGATCTTATTTTTCCAAAATGGGTGATAATGCTTACTTTCGGTGTCAATGAATTTGTAGCGTAAAATAATAGAAATGGCTTCATGAAATTAAATTCCAGTTGAAACGTAGGTACAATTAGTCTTAGCTGGGCTTAAAGTCAATATGCACCTTGGTAACCATGGTAACCTAGCACTGAATTCGGCCCCTGCTCCGTAAGACCGGCCGTATCCTAGCTCGCTTGCGAGGCCATCCATCCATTACGGTGTACAGAAAAGACTCTAGTTTTTACTCATTGAAAACTGTTTTAAACTAAATTTTAAAAACGTAAAATCGCACCGTACTGAATGGACAACCTCGACTTTCCTTCCACTTACAAATGCACACCATCAAATAATAAATATTCAAATAAATGTACGCAATGAATCAATTCAATATGAAAAAAATATATAAAATTACCTATGTACTTACTGTGTACTGCTGCGATGGCCAGATACACTTTTTTCAGTATTTCAAAATATAATTTGCAATTATTTGCGAGACTTTTATATTGTAAACAAGTGATGATGATGATGGATTTGATGATGATGATATGAGAGGAGCTACTACTTATGGCCTGTCTCCGCGAGAGGCCTCACCTTCATTCACTTTTATTTCATCTCCAAATTGACTATGGTGTTACGAGGCATTGGTACATACGGACGTATCTTTAAGTCATGATTCAGCCTAATAATATGTAACTAGCAGCGAACTGCAAGTCTGTATCTATAAGAATTACTCATCCAAAAGCTTTATATAGTGTTAACATTTGCTTTGAATTTTGTATATAAATATGTACAAAATCCACCACTTTCTCCAAAAGTTTATAGGATCCTCCCCCTCGGGTCAACATACCTTACATATGTACTTTGGATTAAAATGATTTCGGATTTCATTATGTATTCATGCGTTTTTTGATGTGCGGAAGTTTGATTTTTATCAGTTAAATACATATGTACCTGAGAAATTGTTTATTTATTATTCAGAATTGAGTAGCATTACAATTACAGAACTATATTTATAATTATTAAAAAAACATTTAGAACTTCATAAATTATTTGCTAGAAAAATTGGCACGAATAAGAAGTACGCAGCTAATCAAATTTGGAATTATAAAAGAATAATTGGGGATCACACGCACTAGGCAGCAAACGTTGTGTTCAATTCAAAAACAAAAAACTCGAAACTCAGATTCAAAACTCAAAATTTAAACAAACAAATTAAGCACAAGGAGTCACAAAAACTTGGCGCAATAATGACACCCGAATTTAATAGATTCGAAGCGAAAGAAGTATACATAGTCCGACCATAAGTTCCCGTGAATGCATTTCCGGTGATAAAGCCCAAAGTATTAGAGCTATCTGATAGAAATTTTTGTGGATGAACAAGGTATTAATCTTGTTTAGAAATCATAACTTCGTTTTCACAATTTCCTCCACGGGCTTGTACACAAGACATAAGTCGTGGCGAAAACTGCTCGATCGCGGCACGCACGGATTTCCTGGGAAAAGCGCCAGATCTTCAGTAAGTGCGACCTCAGCCCTTCCACACTTGGGTGCAATTTAGAGCAAACTTGTACCTATAATTTTGACCACCAGTCATAATTTAGGGGATTAAGGTCTGCAGATACTGAGCACCGTTCTACGGATGAAAAAAAGTGATGAAAATTCGTCTGAAGCCAGTTTTGGACAATTTTGCACCTTGCGCATGAGCAGAGTCTTGTTGAAAGGTCCAATGGCGATTTTCGGAGGGTCCAGGGTTCAGGTTATTAACGTTTGTCTCTAGGACACTATGAAAATAATTCTTGGCTTCAACTTGTACCCTTTGCGGTAAAAAACAGAGATTTCATTTCTCCAGCCAACTTGCTCCCATTCACACCACGGTGATGACTTCGTATTGACTTCCGCATACTTAAACGGATGTCAGACTTCTGTACAACAAATATCTGGCCTTTTTTTCTATTAAACTTTTTGCCAACGGTGAAAAGTCTGAAATACTTTTGGCACGAAAATTGGCGCGTACCACGATCGACCTGTGGCCGTCACGAGTTATGTCTTGTCTAATTGCCCGTGGACGAAATCTTGACAAAGAAGTTATGATTTCTAAACAATATTAATACCTTGTTAATCCATAAAAATTTCGAACAGATAGCTCTAATACTTTGGGATTTATTACCGGAAATGCATTCACGAGAACTTATGACCCCACTATGTACATAGAAGAAAATTAGTGCATGACAAAGCATAAAATTTATTTTAACCTAATATTCATATTCCCAACGGAAGAACCGATGACCACTCCACTAACCACAGCTCCACTGATGGACGGTCCAACGAAAGACGGTCCACCGAGCGATGGAGCAACGCTGGCCGGTGCCCCCAATCCCGAACTTTGACTTTGGCGACCCAGATGTAGAGAAGTTGCTGCAAAATAATTTTTAAAATATGTAAATTTCCTACCATTTATTTAATCACTTACGGAAAATTGCTTTATGAAAATTAAAAATACCCTGAGCTTTTCTTCCTCCGTCCACCCCGAGGTAAGCAGATCTAATTGGCTTTTTAAGTTTTCCCGTCTGATCTTCAATTTCCTAATTGCGTCTTTATGGTATCTGAGCGATTCATTAATTTGCTGATTCTCATCTTGTAGCTCTTGGTATCTCGCTGGAACCAGAATTTTTATACGGTTTAGAAAAGATAAGTACAAATTTCCAGCGAGAACAAAAATTGTGTAGAGACGAAATTTTAAATTTGAAATAAATTTCAAGAAAATATTACCTTGAGAAGTGCGGTCCAAGGGTTGTGGTGGTTGTCCAGACATTGTGACGAGTCTTGGGGTTAATTTCAACCTTGAGAGAGCAAGAGAGGAGAGCTTTTTGTGGGAGATCGTTTGGCAGGTCAACTTCAGCGTACAAATTCTGGACACCGTGTGACTGCAACAAAGAGTTTGGGCATGCAGTAGAATGAAGTAAATCCAAGTAAAATAAACGGTTACAACCGAAATGTAGCAAAGGGGTGAAGCGGCACGGGTAAGGCCAGGGTAAGGTAAACCCCGGGGTTTTGCTATTGAAAACCCATACCCCGGGGGTTTGCCTGGGTTTTGCGGGTAGTCGGGGTAGTCGGGGTAGTCGGGGTTTTGGGGGCAAACTGAGTCAGTGTCTCATGTATTAAGTTCAGAAATTAATGAAAAAATCCGTTTTTCAGTAATTTCGCAAAAAAACTGCTTATTAATTTTATTTTATTAAGCAATTAATTTGTTGAATTGCAAATAATGCCCTGGTATCATATTTTGTAAAATTTGAAAACCCCGACTACCCCGACTACCCCGACTACCCGTGGGTATTGCTCAAATTTGCTACCCCAAAACCCACCAAAACCCGCAATACCGCAATACCCCAAAAACCCGGGGTAGCAAACCCTGGTTAAGGCACGTCAAAACCATGTTGATTTTTGAAATCCCTGCCGAAGACTACGTCTAAAACGATCGAAATAAAAAAATTCGTCATCACCCTGGCGCCGTGACCTTCCGTCCTACAACGCCCATCTTCGAAATCATCCGTAATTAAATAATTAGAAGTAATAGGTGGCGAAAACCGCATATTGAAATTCGAATCCGTTCTTAATTTATTGTGGACACAGACGGACAGACATGACATTTCCATAAAGGGATTTCGCTCCGCTTCACCCCTTAATAAAGCAAAAAAGGTCCACACATTATTATGTATTTGTAACTGTAGCACAGTCAAATTCCAGATATTTGAGGGGAGATTCTTGGAAAAGCGTGCACAATAAACAGCTTAATTTTCACGTTTGCTGACTTTTAAGAGGACTGAGAATTTTTGAACCTTTTTTCCAACTGACTAGGGATTAAAAGGGTCTTTGTTGACTTTGGGTCCTGTTAGAAGGGACATTTCGTGTGGTCATAGTTCTATGCAAGTAGTTTCATACTGCTAAACTCCGTTTCAAGTTACTTGAGTTCACCGCCTTGAGTACTTACATTAGCCGAATGAGCTGAATTACATATTTTATTATTTGACACCACTCATTTTTATTTTGGCGTAAAAATCATACGAAATTGAATAAGTCGAAATACATTAACAAATAATTAAATCCTTACCTACTTATTTGCAGGGCCCTTAGCAAAAAAATGCAGCGAAATTCGTGAAAACGTGGCTGAATAAATCTATGTCTGGCTTTATTTCCAATTTATGTAAGTTTGTCCTTGGTATTTTCGAATTGATTTCACTGCCAAATCATGATTAAAGTTGAGAGAAAGGTCTGTTCTGAGCCATAAATAAGTGTCAGGGTCACACAAAAGATGTCTGACCCGGGAATGATAAACTTTGTCAAATAATTTCGCGTGTATTTTTATCTAATAAGTAGATCTTTCTGCTTTCGTGACCAATTTTTCATGGTCACAGGAGGAATATAAATATTTTCAAGTCTAATATACATACGTTTTCTACGTCAAATTTAACTGGCTTTTCAATGGAATAGAAAGAAATTTGAAATTCCTTAAAACCAAAGAGATATGGTCGTCGACTCTACTATCACTTTTTAGGTAAAACTAGGTATGTACATACGTAATATAGATTGATCATTTTAGGATTTAATATGCCGACGTCATCATAGGGAGTGGGTGGGTGCTTTCAACAAGTGATGACGATTGATGATGGGTGAGTTTTTCAGGATAGTTTGAGACATTAGAGATGAGTCGGGTGAGGAATTTTGTAAGCCCTGCCTGCCCGAACCTTTCGGATTCGGGCAAGTCAGGTCCCGGGTTTACCCAAGACCCAACTAAACTATGGTACGTCATATATACATATCCCTTGCTCACGGAAAGCCTTATTTGCATTGAGAAGACAGTGAATGGGACGGCCTCAAATTTATGTTTGATACACGCGCTTTCTTCACCCGTGCGTCAGCGATCAATTAAACAAATACCCAGTGCTAAATATACTCTTCTAAATATTTAATAAATACGCAAATGAATTAAGGTCGAAATTTCATTGAGTAGATAACAAGAATCTTCGTTTTGACAAAGTCAAGGAGCAGAATTTCTCTAACATGCCACACAGAAGAGGGCCTTCCCTTAAAACCATCCAAAATCTGCACATCTACCTAAATACATATTTACGTATTAAATATACAGATCAGTGTAACAACAATGTACCAAAAAGAATTTCTTCCCGGGTTACAGTTTATGCTAAAAATTTGCAAAATCCTATCCTGCTCCCCGTTCGAATGGGACCCTGAGTCGTCCCGACTAATCAAGTGCCGGTCCCCTTGGCAACTCACCATGTTTAAAGCACAATGCCTCCTCTCCATAGCTTACTCCATTGTACTCGGTCTCAACATCTGTTTCGGACGGTTAAACGAAATTGAAAAGTTTCAGGGTTTCGGCTTCTTCATGGCGTACCTGGTTACGTCCCTGATTCGGTGGAACTACGCACTAGACAATGGCCCGTGCCAAGTTATCCATGCTTTTCTGGACGTCGAGGCCGCAATTTTGGGAAACCTTCCCGCTCTTCCGGCCTCCTTGGAGACGAAGGCGGTCCAGCTGTTCATCCAATTGTGTCAAGTTTGCATTCCCGCCTTCCCCGTGTTGGTCTTCATTTTATTGCGGGTCGTCCCATGCACCCCGCCCTTCATTCTGTCCATGCTGCCAGGTTGTCAGGGTGGTTCGGGTAACTACCAGAGTTTTTCAATTAGCCACATTTGTAATTAATTAGTAATTGATAATTAGAAGGAAAGTATTTCGTCTAATTGGTAATTAAACTCAGGTTGTTAATTAAATCAATTAATTAGCTGAATAATTAGAATATTGACCAATCAATTGGTGATTATAATTAGCTTCGGTAGTATTATTTAACGTTAATTAGTAATCAATAATTAGTTTAATCATGCTATTTAATTAGATAATTAATTACATTGACTAATTAATTAGAAAGCCCTGGTCACTATCTGGTTCGCCTTGGCGTGAACGTGTTTGAGGCTTGGATGACGGCACATATGATGTATTCAACGGGAATTGTGGCGTGCTTCGTCTTCTCCGTGGGAATCGTTTTCATCCTAAATTTTCTCCGTGTGTTGGAAAGGTTTGTCAAAACTCTAATTGACGGTGTCCACACCAAACCTTGAAGCCTTGATGTTCTAAAAATCAAAAAATGTTGAGAGCTATGGGATACAAAACTTAACACAGGAGCAGATTGAGAGCCAACATAGCAAAAGACCGACGAAAACTCAACATTACTCATTGGCCTCTAACTAGTCAGGGGGTGGCCCCAGACCCCACAAAGTATATATATTCTGAATCCACTTGCCGAGACCTTTCTCACGATGCCCCATTGATGGGGTTATGTGAGACTTGACATCACATGTATAAAACCATGGAAAAATATCCACGTCGAAAAGTGACCGGTTTTGAGGTCATTTTCGACATTAAACCTTAAAACGAAAAAGTCCCGCCTGGGGATGCTCAAGTCGGTGTATAATCCGAAATTTCAGCTTTCTAGGTCAAACAATGGCGAAAAAATCGCCGTACTACGAACCCTACTCTACATCGCAAAAATGGTCATTACGGAGGGCTGTAGCAACTTTTTTTCAAAATTTGTCTTCTGTTACACTAATTTCATGGTCTGTGACCTATTTTTGATGGAAATTCAAAAATAAAAAATCCAGCTGCCAAGGCTTCAGGGTTTGGTATGGACACCGTCAATTGTTAACTGAGACAAGTTTCGCTTTATAAGAAGTTTTATGGTTTAACTCGGGAGTAAGGGAAAAATTGTCATGGTCATACGCATTCAAAAAATATTTATTCATTCAAAGTTCATTTATTCAAAGCCTTGAAAAACAAATATTTATTTCTTATTCACTCATTCATAAATTGAAAAAAATTCATTAATTATTCAACATTTATTCATTATTCATTTTATTCAAAATAAATTACTCAAGTTTCCCTATGTATTAAGCATTGAGTGAAAAATGAATGATGAAAAAAATATTCATTCATTATATTCATTCACACGAACTTAGGACTGCCAGTGAGTCGTAAATGAGTCGACCTTTAATTTACTATAGCTATTTACATTCTTGAGCAAAATTGAAATCTTAGGCATTTCTGAACTCCCAGATAAATTAGGGATGAAACAGAATAAATATAAAAATTTCAAATTCCTTAGTTTGAAACCTAACTGTAAATGAGTCGTTAGAGTCGTTATTGGGTCGTTAATGAGTTGATCTAAAAATTATCAACTTGCAATTTTTTATTTCGTTAGAATTTCTGTCATCTTACTCCAAATTCATCTGGGAATCCAAAAATGCTTAAACATTCAACTTTGCACAAGTTTGTGAAAAGTTATAGTAAAGTTAAGGCCAACTCATTAACAACTCACTGGCAGTCCTACACGAACTGAATTCACTCAATATTCATTTATTCAAAAATCAGAATAAAATATTCATTCAAATTTTGAATATTGAATGAATAATTTATTCATTCATCATTAAATGAATGAATGTGAACATGTATGATTGGGATGACTGACTTTTGAACGAAAACAATTATTTTTGACTAACATAACCCAATTTTTCCACAGCTATATCACCACCGACTTGGCCGACCACACCGACTGCATCCGGCTCTACCGGGTAGTTCAAATCTTGGAGAAATCGTTAAACGCCTACTTGTCGGAGAGGATCCTACCCGCCATAATGATTGGCGACCCGACGGTTGAAATTTTCGGGCTTTTTGTCTGCATCAGTTTGTCGAAGGAAACCCCGATGCCGGGCTTTCTCATATTCCCCCTGATGACGACGGTCACCGGGATCAACAACGTGGTAATAGTCGCCCTCGCCTCAAAGTTTCACAGTGCGTCGGAGCGTCTCTTGGTTTGCTGGGAGAGGGCAAGCTTATCAAATAAATGGAATAATAAGCTGCGGAGAAGGGATCTCCGAGCCTGTAACGTGCTCAAGATCAAGTTTGGTTCGAACTTTGTCGAGAAAGGGACCCCGCTCGTTTTGCAGGATTTTTGCATTAATCAAACCATATCTCTAATACTGCTCAACAGGGAGAGGAAATAAACGTTGCAAACATTCATTTATTCATTTTCGCTCAAATTCATTTCATATCACTTCAGAAGTGAATGAAATGAATTTCAACGAAAATGAATGAATGAGAATGAAAATCTTAAGTCGGATCGGTGAAATCGGGATCACTGTCTTTTTAAGTGTTTGAACAGTTATGATTTAAATAGAAACATTTTACATACGTATGCATGTAATATACTCGTATTAAAGAATTTAAATATTTATCTCAATTAATTTAATACCGAAGAAAACAATTTTTTTATTCGCATTTGGTAGTCAAATAAATGCATGTTTATAACTCCATAATCTAGATCTACAGAGTTTACAGATTGCAAACTCTCAAAAAATAAACCAGGCTTCAACATCGTCATTCTTCGACCCAATAAAATCCAACGTTTCTTCAGCCGCTTCCCTCCATCGCTGCAGGACTCCAGCCATTTCCGGTTTCCTTAATTGAAACCCCAAATTATTGAAGGGGTTGATCGGATCCAAAATCAGGGGGCGTTGGCGACGAACATCGGCAGGAATTTGGGATTCTTCATAATTTTCGGTGAATACGATACAAGCCGATGAAAGGGTTCGCATTTGGTGGAGAAAATGGCTGAAGCGCGCTTGAAGTCCGCGATTCGGTTTGCGGCCCAGGTTGGTTCCCATGGCGACGAGTTCGATGAGGTAGGATCGTCCGGTTAGGCGGGCACCACCCAGATCGACGCACTTATCCCAGTACTGGGCGATCCGAATTATCCGAGAAACGTTGAGTGGAACGGCTACGTAAAAAAACGAAACTTGTGATCAATATAACGAGGAAATTCATTCACGAAGTAATTTGTAACTTTGTAAAATTCGTGAGTTTTTGTGCCATATTTTGACGAACTTTTACAAAATAAAGGGACGCCCTTGATCTGAGCAAGTTTGCAAAAATTAGTTAATTTTCCTTAAAAATACTTGTAAAATTTTGCAAATTCACAAATTTACAATTGTAACCGTGAACTAAGAGTTTTTGATACAATTTTGTTGTCATTTTAAAATGAATGCTAAAATAAGTGTTGCCTATTAATTTCACAAATACTCTTCTTGTCAAGTAACAAAATAAATCCATTAATTTTGAGCTAAATCATGATAATAATTAAATTTCTAAGTGATTTTCTCAATTAATTTCTAAAACAAATTTTGATAATTAATTTCATTTCATAATTTTTCTTCCGGTCACTCACCCCGCACAAACGAGACCGTCGCCTCGGCCAAACTTGTCGAGAAATTTTGTCGTTCTCTGAATCTCTTGCATCGGTCACGCATCGTTTTTCCGACGCATTTCTCCTGAATTGACAACCGCTCCATGGCGTTCAAAAGGTGGTCCCCCTGGACCAAATTGGCTGCCGGAAGAATGTCCAACTTGAAGGTGACACCCTCCCCGGTGACGACTTCGACTTGGACGGAATGTTGGTTGTAAGTAATCGACTGGATTTGCCATTGTGTCGTCCGATCCGCCTTTTTCACGGCGCGGAGAAAGGCCTGGATGAGCGCGGGGGAGAAGGGGGGCATGTGTCCATTGATGAAGCAGACGAGGTCAAAATCTGGACAAAATTCGTCCCCCAGAGCGGTTCCTTTTCCAATACTGCCCGCTTTTCGAGCGCGGTCCAAACTGATCTCATCGGATTGACGGATACTTTCGAAAATGTCGTTGATAACGGCGCGCCCCGGGGCAAGGTAGGCGCGGCTGGGTCGCTGGTTATCGGCAAGGGCGCGGAGCTGGTCGTTCTTGAGGTGGAGTAAGGTTTGTGGCATTTTTAGGGAAGAAAAACTGTCACCTGGAGAAAATTTAAAAAAAAGTAAACAAAATTGGAGAAATTTTCTTTGACTTTTGAATAAGCGGTAGACTTTTTTGCTTCATTTTTTTACCTGTGATCGGAAGATGTGAAATTGAGGTGGAGATTGCAAGGGAAATTGTTAAACTGTCGCCTGGAAGGTTAAATGAGTGATAAAAATTTAATTTCTGGCTTAAAATTTCCATCGTCTCTTTTGAACAGTTGATGTTTTTTAGTTAATTTTTACCTGTGAGACCTGTAGGGGTTAAATTGGGATGCAAATGTCAAGGCGATTGATTTTGAATTGGAAATTGTTCTCGTGCAAAACCTGGGCAAACTTTTACTCGTACTTTTTATGGAGTTGTGTATTCGCACGTGCTTCCCATGCTGATTCTGTACACGTGGAACACAAGAGCTGAAATTCTAGGGGAACGTTTCGCCTAAAAAATTGCTGGATCACCACGAGTAGCCGGCTGCAGGGGCGTACATACCACCGCCTACCACCGAATGGCTGCCTAAATCCCGTTTTTAAAAATGAACAACCCAAATATGGGTAGATCATTTTTAACAAAAAAAACAACTTTTCACACTCAAAATTTTTCCAGAAAAATCAAAACGTAAAAAAATGAGAAAAATTCGCTTCGTTTGTGCCAAATTAGATATTTCGTGAAAAATTTTGAGTGGCCGTTCATAAATTACGTAACGCAAGAGGAGTGGAGGGGGGTCTAAGGCTCAAATGATACCGTGCCTATGTTACATTACACATATTAGGGGTAAAGAAAATCGCGATTTTGGCGTTTCTTAATTAATGGACGGCCCCTCGTCAGGGTGGTTGATTTTTTATATATCGCAATGATCTACTCATTAATACCTTCAATTTTTTTTAAAGTGTAAAAATTCTAGGGCATTCGATTCGATTATAAAAACGGGAATTTATATTTAAGGAACCAATAATATCCGAATTTCGGATTTTTCGGATTTGCCATTTTTTCCGGGTTTTTACTTCAAAAGCTGTCCCGAATAATTAAAAAAAATTATTTCATGACGTTATAAAACGGATTCTATCAAAATTGATGAGTATTTTAAAAGTTTTGGAGAATTCGGCTATTTTTTGTGCTAGATTTCGCACAACATTGTCTCAATTTTCCCAAGCCTATATTTTCGAAACCTGAATAGCTCGCAGCGATTTTCTTTTTGATCCTTGTAGTCTACGATGAGTAGCATCAGATGCCATACTCAGCTAACTTCCAAGTGCGTCGCAACAAGGTCAAAAATGGCCCTAAAGGTCATATGCGGGGAAACTTTGCACCCCGATATCTCCGAAACTATACGGAATTTCGAAAAAAGTTTATCTTCAGTTTTGTCATAAAAAATGATGCAGAATACAACGCCGTTATCAGTTTGTACCTAACTCGTGCAGGGGGGCTGGGGGAAAAACTCCTCCCCCTGGGGGTGTGGCAATATAAAACTATTTTTCCAATAGTCCTTGTGCCTCACCTGATCGAAATATGCAAAAAAAGTTGGAAGTACTCAAAATTTTATTTTTGAGAATGAAAATCCCATTTGAAATCATAGTGCGGAAGAGCAGTACACCCCTGCATAAAAGTGAAGTAGTTGGCTGGCGGGTCCTTCTCCGTTAATACGTTTCTCCAAAAATAAAATATCCCAGAATCAACCAACCCAAACCTTAAATTACAAATTAAATTGAACCCAATTAATTGGTGGCGTGCGACGTGACGAGTGCGAGTAATAGCAGATAAGGTAATTACTAATTAGTTGTATGTTCTTCTCTTAATTAAACTGTGTGAGGTATAAGCAGATCATATTTTCATCGTTATATTTTATTTTCTAGATGGGGGGAGAATGGTGGTTTGCATTTTTCAAGGATGGCGACGACAACAAGACCAAGGTCGAGCAGGTCAAGGGGTCAACCTCATCTTCTTCCAAGGCCCCACAACAAAATAAGGGTCACAACGCCGCCGCAGCACGGCTCAAATTCGACGTGAAAAAGTATTAATCGCTCCTATTCCGACTTCGGAACCAGTACCAGCACAAGTTGAGGACGAGGGATGGGGGGTGGGAGGAGTATACCGCGATGTGGTCGCAAGTTAAACAAGGTAGTTGTCAATTTATTAGTGAAATAATAGTTTATTAATTTCATATTTTAAACTCAGAATGGAAGTCTCGCAGCGTATGCTATCCAATTTTGAGCAAACTATTAATAGTGTCAATCAATCAGAAATTTAATTAGTAAAAAATGATTACAAGATTACTACAAAAATTACAAGACACGAGCTGGACTCCAATGTGACACATTGGCAGATATGTTGGTATCTAAAGACGAACAGTGTCAAACAAAATCGACTGCACGTTTTCTCCTTTTTTTTGCAAATGTTTAGCGTATTTGCAAACTTGCTTAATTTTTCGCATGTGCCCTAGTCGGACTAGGGCACATGCGAAAAATTAAGCACATTAAGCACATTAACCACATTAATTAAATGTTAGTTTGAAAGAAATGGGTGTTTTTATTCAAACTAACATGGTAAAAAGATTGAGGATATGATTGAGCCCCCATTTTAAGTAATTACATTTATAATCGCTTGACACTAATTTGCTTAAGCTCAGAAAGTTTACGCCCCAATTATTATGTAGTATTTACGATAAAATAATATACTATTCTTTATAGGCCAAGAGCCGCAGGACAACATTTTCGCCAAGTTTACATACACTTGTGAACGCCACAACTGGCATGGAGTGAAGGGTCGTGGAATGGTGGGAGAAATGAACAATCCCGGCGTCTCCACGGCCGTCTGGACTTTGTATTGGGACCCTGTGAAAAAGATTGCTGAACAAGACCCTTCCGATCAAAGGTTCACTTTTTCCGACGTCCACGCCCGCTGTGCTCCACGTGAATTTATTCGCTTGTCGGTTGAAGTGCAGAGGATCCTGGCGCTAGAATTTTGCCATCATTTCCAACTCTACTTGGGCGATGGTTTGAGTGGCGTTGATGTACTTGGCTACGAGTGTTGTGGATATTTTCCGCCAGAGTTGGCATACTTGTGTGATTAATAATCAGATCAGTGATGAATTAAACTGTTTCACTACCAATTTAATGGAATTATTTAGTTGGAATTAAATTGTTAAAAAACACTTTTGTTCTATTTCAACATTATTTGAACCAATTTACAATTTACAACTTTCACATTCAAAATTGTCCAAGAAAAATCAAAACATAACTGCCAAAAACATGCGTTTTTATGCTAAATTAGATTTGTCCTGAAAAATTTTGACCAAATATTTATATAGAAATGATCTACTCATTACTACCATCAATTAAAAAAAATGAATTGATGCACTTAAAAAAACGGAGATTACGTAAGGGGTGCAGAGGAGCGGTACACCCCTGCCCAGTAGTTACGAGCTGGCGGGCCTTTCTCATATGTTTCTCAAATAAAATACCCTCACTCCAACCAAACCAGGTCTTAAATAATTTAAGTTAAATTACAAATTTAATTGAACTGTTTAATTAAATTAATTAGTGCCAATTAGTGGTGTGCGACGTGACGAGGGTCAGTATTGAGTAATAGCAGATAAGGTGATTACTAATTTGTTGCATGTTATTCTCTTAATTAAATTGTGTGAAGTATAAGAAGATCGTATTTTCATCATTTTAATTTTATTTTCAAGATGGGGGGCGAATGGTGGTTTGCATTTTTCAAGGATGACGACGACGACAAGACCAAGGCCGAGGAGGGCAAAGGGGCAACATCTTCTTCGACCAGGGCCCCTGAAAATAAGGGTCACAATCACAAGACCGCCCCACTACGGCCCAAATTCGACGTGAAAAAGTATCAAACTTTTCTCCTCCAAGTTCGGAATCGCTACCAGCACAAGTTGAGGACGAATGTGGAGGAAAACTATACTGCAAAATGGTCTCAAGTTCAGCAAGGTACTTATCGACTTTAATTGTTGAAATAATAGTTTATTGATTGATTTAATCTGTTTAAACTTAAAATGGAGGTCGCGCAGCGTGTGCTTCCCGATTTTGAGCAAACTAGTACCAATCAATCGATCATACAAATTTAATTACTATGAAATTTGAATCTCCCAATGGGCAGCCGAGATATTTGCATCCACAGAGGAGAAAATGTGTTGTAAAGTTGTTATATTTTATATTTGCCCAAGTTTTCTCCTCTTCGGATGCAGACATCCCGTCCAAACGGGCCAATTGAGATCTCGTGTCTTTTTCAAATTTAATAAAATATATGATGGATTGATACTAGTTCAAAATCGGACAGCATACGCTGCGCGATCTCAATTTTTATTTAGTAATTTAAAAAATTCACTGTTATTTATAGGGCAAGAACCGCAGAACAACATTTTCGCCAAGTTTACGTACCCTTGTCGACGCGGCTGTGGTCATGGAGAAAATGGTCAAGAAATGACCAATCGCGACGGCGTTTCGACGGGCGGCTGGACCTTGTATTGGGACCCTGTGAAAGAGATGGCTGAGCAAAATCGTACCCGTCAAAGATTCTCTCTTTCGGACGTTTATGCCCGCTGTGCTCCGTGGGATTTTATTTCCTTGTCGGTTGAAGTGCAGAAAACCTTGGCGCAAGAATTTCGCCATCATTTCCAACTCTACTTGGGCGATGGCATAGGGGGCTATGGGGATGAGTGTGACGAGTATTGGGGGTACAAGCAGCCAGAGGCGGAGTAGTGTCGGTGGAGGTGATTTTGATTTATAATCGCTAATTACATGTTTAATTATCAATTTAATGGAACTATTTATTTGGAATTAAATTGTCACGAATTGAAAATTTACATATTTTTGTTTTTATTTTGATCTCTTTCAACATTTATTTGGACACGTAAATCTTTTTAAAATTGAGTTTCACTTGCGAACTCGGGCGTCGCCTTTCCATTTCTTGAATTTTGATAAGGATTCCTGTACCCGGTTGAGGAATCTTGACGTAACGGCGAAATGCCACACTTTTTAAGCCCGAATATTTTTAATTGAAGCATGGCAAACCTAAAATTACATGTATGAAATTGAGCTAAAATGGTTATGTGAATTTAACTTAATATTCTTGTCTTCGCCCTTAAATTTTGAGTAAATATTAATTCATAATTTAATTCATTAGGCACGTGGAGGACTTTAAGGTTTGTCGGTCCGGGTTTTGCAAGGCCTTAAAAACCACCTAAAAGGCCTATTTGGCGAGCGTCGCCAGTTGGCGCCGGGCGTTGTAAGTGAGCTAATGATTTCAAATTTTGAATGTAAACCATTTACACCCAGCGCCACCCTCTCAGCGACAATTCAGTAGTCCAGGTCTAAGACCAACCACCCCCCCAGGGGGTGTGGCTCGTAAAAATTTTGGGAATCAATCCCCCAACCCGCAGGATCGTATAATATGCTAAAATAGTTGAGGTAATGAGTCTAGAGACTTTCTAGAAACCGTGACACTGGCTGGCCGCAGTATGCACGAGTAGCCGGCTGCAGGGGAGTACCGTACCACCGCCTACAGAATGGCTGGATAAATCCCTTTTTTTAATGAAACACTCATATTGCAAAAATTTCAAACTTTCACACATAAAATTGTTTCAGAACAATAAAACGTGCAAAAAATCAGAAAAATTCGTTTGATTTGTGCCAAATTAGATTTTTCCTGAAAATTTTTGACCATGATGGTTGAATTTTTTATGCAGGAATGATTTACTTATTAATTAATACCTTCAATTTTTAAAAATCGTGTAAAAATCGTTTAAAATCGTGTAAATCGTGTAAAAATTTTAAAAGAGTGTGTGGTCATTGAGATGACCGTTATTCACTTTTAAAAACGGGGGTGCTGAGGAGCAGTACACCCCTGCATAATACTTACAGAGAAAGTGTAGCTGGCGGGTCCATCAATACACAATACGTTTCTTCATTCTCAAACAATAAAATACCCCGAAAATCACTCCGTCCAAGCCAAACCTTAAGTTACAAGTTAAATTGAACTGAATTAATTGGTGGTGCAAGTTAACTTACGAGTGTTAGTATCGAGTAGTAGAAGTTAAGGTAATTAATTATTAATTTGTTGCATGTTATTCTCTTAATTAAAAGCTTTAAAGTGTAATATTATGATTTAAAAAAAACATATTTTCTTAATTATTTTTTTCTAGATGGGAGGAGAATGGGAATTTGCATTTTTCAAGGATGACGAAAACGGGGCCGAGGGCAAAAGGACGACCTCTTCTGCGTCCAGCGCCGCACAAAATAAGGGTCGCAACCCCACGCCACGGCCCAAATTCGACGTGAAAAAGTATCAAACTTTTCTGCTCCAACTTCGAAACCGCTACCAGCACAAATTGAAGACGAATAAGGAATATTCGGCAATGTGGTCTAAAGTTCAGGAAGGTATTTATCTATTAATTGTTCAAATAATACATAGTTTATTAATTGATTTAATATTTTAAACTTACAAAGCTATATTTATCAAAGTATGCTCACCGATTTTGACCAAATTAGTATTATCAATCGATCAAAAATTCTAGTAATATGAAATGACGAAAATAATTTAATTTACTGTAATTAATTTCAGGCCAAGAGCCACAGGACAACATTTTCGCCAAGTTTACGTACCCTTGTCGACGCCGCTGTGGGCATGGAGAAAATGGTCAAGAAATGAACAATCGTGGCGTCTCTACAGCGTTCTGGACCTTGTATTGGGACCCCGTGAAAGAGATGGCTGAGCAAAATCATACCCGTCAAAGATTCTCGTTATCCGACGTTTACGCCCGTTGTTCTCCGTGGGATTTTATTCGCTTGTCGGTGGAAGTGCAGAAAACCGTGGCGCTAGAATTTCGCCATCATTTCCAACTCTACTTGGGCGATGGGTTAAGTGGTTGCGATGATGAGGGTTGCGGATATGGGAAGCCAGAAGCAGAGTACTGTGGCGGTGATTAATAATCAATAATTAAATTGTTAAATTGTCAATGTAATGGAACTAATTATTTTGAATTAAATTGTCACAAATTGAAAATTTAAACATTTTTGTTTTGTTTTGTTCTATTTCGACATTTATTTGGAGACCTTAATCTTGTTAAAATTTTGTTCCATTTCCGAATACTGGCCTCGCCTTGCATTTTTATAAGGAGTGGTGCACCCGGTTAAGAAATTGTGACGTGACGGTAAAATTTAAGACTTTTTAAGTCTTATTTAATTGAAGCATGGCAAACCCAAAATTACATGTATGAAATTGAGTTAAAATGGTTATGTGAATTTAACCTAATATTCTTATATTCGCCCTTATATAAATTCTAGAAAATATTAATTCATAATTTAATTCATTAGGGGCCCGTTCATATATTACGTCAAGAGAGAGGGGAGGGGGGTTGAGCTCCAATGATATCGTGCCTATCCTTCTCATGTTAAAAGGGGGTGGGGGTTGAAAAATCGAGATTTTTTGATGACGTAATATATGAACGGGCCCTAGGCATGTCTAGGACTTTGAGATATTTATGAAAGTTCTTGTTTGATAAAACTCTTAACGATTATGGATTACTAATAAATGTTTCATATGAAAAAGGATAACCTTTATCAAAGTTGAAAGCCCCTTTATAAATAAGATCGTTATGTATTTATGTCCGTCGGTCCGGTTGTCTATCGCTTGGGATGCCGTTTTTCGAAACGTGTTTCTAATTTTTATGGGGACAACGAGGTCAAATAGACGTGCCAGACCACACCCCCTCCGCACCGTGGGGAGGGGGTATGGGGACCCATGGGGCGAACTATGAAAATGTTAGAATTATTTTGTTCTTTCTGAATAAGTACTTTGGTTCGAAAGATAATCCACTGAGGGGCAAACCATTTTTGAAATCTTTTTGTGGCGGCACGAAATATAAATCCGGGGATGTGTGGAATTAGGGTAAAATGAGAAGACACATTAGACGAGTCAATTTTACTCTGCTCCATAATTGCAGATGACGGTTTCCATCAGCTATCGCCGGTAAAAAACATCTGATTTTATTTTCTGCGGTTTTAGCTCAAAAACATGTTCAGCGGGTCTGAACTATTCGATTTAGTCGGTTTTTAAAATTTTCGTGACCCCCTCCATGTAATGGCATAGGCGAAAGCAGTACTTTTTTTTGACAATATGTGTCAACTGTCTCCCTTCATTGTGAAGCAACCACAAGGCCCACGGCGGTCAAACTTCGTATGGACAATCCCCAGGTTCTGCTTTAGGGTCAAACGGAAGCGCTAGACTCTACCCATACTCCATGACCTGAAACTGACCTGAGGTCAAGTCACAAAGTTGGCTCCTCCATCACCATTTTTTAAAAAGCTCGCATTTCAACAATCCTGGATAGATTTCCTTCATAATTGGTAAAAACTGATCTGAATAATTTGTATTATCAGACTGGTTAAGAATTTTTAATTTTTTTCCAAGGTCAAAAAATTTTTCAAAAGGTCAACAGGTCAAGTCTCACGTAACCCCATAAGTGGGTTATCGTTGGAAAGGCATTGGCTGGAGGAGTAAGAATATATATACTTTATGGGATCTGGGACCACCCCATGATGTTTTAGTGACCGATGAGTAATATTGAGTTTTCATCAATCTACTGCTATGTTAGCTCTCAATCTGCTCCTGATTTAACGTCTGCATGCCTGGAAAATCAAACCTCAATGATACTCATCGGTCTCTATAAAATCAGGGGGTGGTCCCAGACCCCATAAAGTATATATATTCTGAATCCTCGCGCCAAGACCATTCCAACGATACCCCACTTATGGGGCTATGTGAGACTTGGCCTGGTGACCTTTTTCGTTAGTGTACAAAATTTGTTGACCTTGAAAAGAAATTAAAATTCTTACCGAATCTGATAACACAAGTTACTGGGATCAGTTTTCACTAAATATGAATAATATCTATCCAGGATTGTTGAAATGCGAGCTTTTTAAAAAATGGTGATGGAGGAGCCAACTTTGTGACTTGACCTCAGGTCAGTTTCAGGTCATGGAGTATGGGTAGAGTCTAGCGCTTCCGTTTGACCCTAAAGCAGAACCTGGGGATTGTCCATACGAAGTTTGACCGCTGTGGGCCTTGTGGTTGGTTCACAATGAAGGGAGAAAGTTGACACATATTGTCAAAAAAAGTACTGCTGTCGCCTTGTCACCACCTTGTCATTACCAGGAGGGGGTCATGAAAATTTTAAAAAACCGACTAAATCCAATAGTTCTAACCCGCTGAACATGTTTTTGAGCTAAAACACCGGAAAATAAAATAAGATGTTTTTTACCGGCGATAGCTGATGGAAACCGTCAGATATGATTTTTACTGGTTGAGAATTGTACTCCACTGGTAACAATTTATTAAGGGTAGTACATATTCAGAGGGTAAGTCATCCGTCATACACACCATCAACGCTCTAGTAATGAAATTTTACCGACACTGGAGTAAATATATTACCTTCAGGTAACAACTTGTCACCATGAATAGAGTTGGTACAGAGTTTCTAATATTGTCACACAGTTATTGAAGGTACCAGTGTTTCACTTAAACGGTGACGCCAAAATTATGACCACATCATTGATGGATAGTCCTTAATAAAATAATGCAATTTTACCCGGGCATCCGTTCGATTTTCTTATCAGAAAATATAATTCACTTTCAATATAGGTAAGTAGGTAACCGATTCCTTGTCGAACCATTTTTCTCGGAGAGCTTTCGCTAAACAATACCTACACTAACCCAAATACATATTTCTCCTTTTCCGAAATATAAAAATTATCAAAATGTCCCCTCGGAAATATTTCATTCGTATCCATCGTTCTCAGAAGGTTTTGAAAGCATTGCAATCCACGGATTTAATTTCGCCGGGATTATGGAAAATTGGGGAGCAATATTTCAGCATTTTTGGGCGGATCAGCATCCTCCCGTGGGAATTCGTGGTACCCTCAAAGCAACTAAATTTACTCAAAAATTCCCCCTTAAGGGGCACGATTCTCAAATTTTCGCCCCTCCTCCCAATCGCGTACACCTTAATGACCTTCGTCCTCCTGACGAAAAAGCTACTATTAAGAGAAACCAGGGCTGACGACACGTACGACATTTTCCGCACGTTCCTCATGTTTTATATGTGCTGTGTCTACCCTGCAATTATACCGACGAGTTGCATTCTCGGTTTTCGGGCTGGATTTATTGCTGCGATAATCAATCCAATTACCACATTAGAGGCAAGCGTATCAGGTATGTGACAAACAAGGGAGTAGTGGCGGCGGAAGTTTGATGGATATTTTCATTGTTAGGTAGGAGGGGCTTTGTAACATAGAGAAGATATGATTTTTCAGAATTTGTTGGGGGAATGTTGCATGTCCCCCGCTTACGCCGCCACTGCAAGAGAAGTTTAGCACATGTGTGTATTATATATGAGGGGGATTCCTGTCCATTCTGGCACCAGTTGAGCCGCGCAGGTCACCAATTAGCATATGTCGGATATGAATGAAATTTGACTTTTTCCATTTATTGACCTACAGACCCCAAACTTTCTGAGAATGTTCACGATCATTAGTAGGTCACGTAGGTCAAAGCATATTTTCTCATATTGATCATACTTTCAGGTTTTGGGACATATTCATATTATCAAGTGTCCCCATAAAGAAAGTGTCAAGTTTCCCCTTATTTTTTCAACCACTTACAAATTAATTTTGGATATGTAAAAAATAGGCAAAATATGCAAATTTGATAAGCTTTCTAAAACTGAAAGCAGAATTTGATTATCTCTGTTCGTTAAAAAATGACAGCACAAAATTTAGAGGAAGTGGAAAAATTAGTTTGCTACTCGTGCGAAAAAGTGATTTTTTGGGATCGGAAAAAGGCACATGACCACTTTATCCGTCAAGGAATGCATCCGACAAAATTCATCACACACTAGACATATCTAAGGATTGTGAAAATGCAAAATTTAAAATTTGGCCTTATCGACCTGTCCGCCAGGGAACCCAAATACTGACGAGAAACGTGAAATAGTTTTTTCTGAAAAAATCCCAACAGATCCGTGAGGGTTGCACCCAGACAACCAAAGATTTCAGAAAAAACTATCTTCACAAGATCATAGCCAATAAGTTGGGCTTTAAAACTTACAACATTATAATCGCGCTAAAATACAATGAAGATAAAAAATCAGGGACTAAAACCGTTTGTCGAAAACTTGTTGAAAAAATGTTAAAATTGACTCTCAAAAGTTTCTCGTCGTGGATGATGAAAACCACTGCACCGTTGACCTCGAAGCGTCAATGGTGTAATGTTCTACTCACGTTGAAGTAAAAATGACGTTCGTTCGAATTATAAATTCAAAGCCAAGCAAAATTTCCAATGAAATACATAAAATGGCTGTCGATGGACGAAAATGAGAGCATCTCCAATACATTCGCTTCAACCATGAATATGAACTTTGCACTTTATTTGAAAGAGTGTATCATCAAGAGATTGACCCCATCTATCAAAAACCAACACGTTTTATTTTGATCTGACATGACTACGTGCCAGAATGCCAAACTAGTGACAGGGTACCATCGAGTCAAAAAAACTGATTTCGTCAAGAAAAAAGACATCGCTCCAAACGTACCTTAATGTCGGTCCATTTAAAGATTTTGGGCACTAATTGCGTAAAAATATACTTAGAAAAAAAGCACACAAAGAAATTTCAAAAAATTTCGACGGGCTACGGAGAAAATCATCATAGAAGTTGATGAAACGAATGGCAAAGCACTCATTAGAGGTGCTCGACAAAGTCGGCTCTCCACCTACATACAAGATGTATTTTGACCATTGAAGGGCAAAAAAACTTCGGTATACTCATCATTAGTATAACATAAAAGTTTCATTAAATTTGACTCACGCATTCATTTTTACTGGTCTAAAACTTTCTGACACTTTCTTTCTGGGGACACTTGATACCAATCGTTTTTCTGGATTTTTTCGTTCATTTTGTGATTTTTGGCTAATTCCAAGATTTTCCTACCAAATCGCCAGAAAATGACGAAAAA